CAAATCTGCGGTTTTCTCCTCCAACCGAGGGGGCCGGAGGAAGTGGTTGAGGTTTCTTTTGTGTGTGCGGCTCTGAGGAGCCGGCTGGGTGCTCGCGGAGGAAGAAGAGGCTCGTTAGTTTCGCTCTCGCACACTAGTCGATTATTCAGTAAAAGTGTGAAGAATGGGAATTGGGCATGGGTGAGGATGCTTCCTCTACCTCTGCCTGGAAGATACAGCTCTCCACCTACCGCCAGAGCAATTGGAGTCTGCGCCAGGAAAGGGTTCTCTTCAACTTCCCAGAATTTTTGCTTTTAAATCTGATACAAACCTGAAGACAGGATACAGCCAGAAATGTGCCATTACACAATTGTAACAATGCCCGTTTTTTCTTCGAATCCCAAGGGAGTCCTTTCAAAGCACAATACTGTGCATATAGCCAACTCTTACCTCCTTTCTGGTTTCCTGACTTTGCAATATTGGACTATATAATTTTCATTATTTTAGTCCTTTTCTAGCTTCTCCCGTTCCCTCTCTGTGGCTCAGTAAATGTGCAGCTTGATGTTAGTTACAGTGTTTCTTATTTAAATATTATCAAAGCAGAACATACCCTATGAGTTTTAAAACCAATGTCCAAGTTTTGCAGAATCAAACTGTAGTTGGTTCTTTGGCAATGTGATCAGGATAATGGCAGCGTTATAGTAAATTAGTTGAAATAAAAAGTTCAGATGGCATAGTGTTTGTGGCTTCATATTTTTCATCAATGGGACTAATATTTTAATTATTGACTTTGTTTAAAGGAAAACTTGCACTTTGCGTTCTTTCCTCTCTCTGCTGCTTGTGAACTGTGTTCTCAGGCTACTCAATACGCAGCACATATGGTCCTCTGCCCATTTTTTTGCTGCCCGCAGTGTAGTTTGGGTTTATGTGGGGCTTAATGTGCGGCCTGGAGCCAAAACAAAAATGTTGTCAATATAATGATCTTTTGTTGATATGCATTTTAGTAGTTAAATTCCTGGACTGTCATTGCTCATTAAAAGTGCTGTCATGGGTGGAAATGGGGTAAATATTACATTTTATGAATATCAGCTAAACTGACTTAAATGGGGCCTGCGTGTTGTGTGGTCTTGCCTTAATCTTTGTATTCTTGCCCATCAGTGAGAATGAAGCTATTTGCATGTATAACCACACTTAAGTTGCGGCCCTCATGTGCTGAGAGTATCATTGTGGCCCCTGGGGCTTCCAAAGTTGAGTAGCGCTGATCTAGAGGATACTAAACAATAAAGCTCTAGACCCAGCAAAGCTGATCGACCTTATGGCATGGAGCCTTCTTGAGATCAAGGTGCACTTGCGTGAATCACTTTGTAGAAGTAGGGCCTTAAGATATTAAACCTAACATGGTACACTGAATCACTTTAATCATATTGATGATGTTTGCCACCCTCCATCTTTCTCCATGCCCTTTCTTTCTTTGTTAATCCTTCTGCCCTTTGCTTCATGTCTGGAATTAAGCCCTGATCCTGCATTGGATCTGTGTTTTTTTGAAGTTGTCCCCCATTATGGATAGGGATGTAAAGAGTAGTTGTTGAGTTGATGACTCAACCTCCCCCCACCTCCTGCCTCTGTATCAGAGGCAGTAAGGGGTGGGGAAGCAGGAGCCAGTCCCCCTCTCCCCCCCGCACCATCTCCATGGTGCCGCTTGCCTCCCCCACACTGCTGTTTTGCTGCAAGCAGAGGCTGCTCCGCATCCCATGGAGTAGCCCCTGTCTGTGGGGAGTCCCAGCAGGGAGCTGGGATCCCCCACGGACAGGGGCTACTGCTGCAAAGCAGCCCCTATCCAGGGGCAGCCCAGGCTGGCTGCAAACACAGGCTGCTCCGATCTGGGAAAGTTCGAGCTGGGACTGAGCCTGGTTTGCTCAGTCCCAACTCAGGGACCTACCCCCTCTGTGGCTGCCTAGGCACCTGGCTCCTACTTCATTTAAAATGCAGAGCTGCAACAGGGTAGCTCCTGAACCTGAGGAGCGAGACTGGATTGAGCACCTTCCCTTAACGAATTGTATCGATTACATGATTAGCCAGTTACCCACCTCTTAATATCCTTGATTATGGATCCAGGTGCAGGACTGGCTATAGCTTTTGTGTGTGTGTGTGTGTGTGTGTGTGTGTGTGTGTGTGTGTGTGTGTGTGTGTGTTTAACTTCATGCACTGTGAATAGTTCCACTCAAATTTGAAGAATTGGGGCCAATGTCACTATTTATGTTGTCTGGCAAATATACAACAGAGAAACTATTTTCTCTAATTCACATGTTTGTTAACTGTTTTGGTCATCTAAAAAGTGAATATATGAAAGCTAGTGCATTTCTTATAATAAATTTGCTGCCATTTAAGGGTTTTATCTTACATATTGTGTTTTAAATCTAATCTTGGTAGAACATGGCTTTGGATTGTTGTTTGTTCTTCAGACTTTTTGGAAAAGCTAAAATGCACATGTAGAATTGCAAATAAAATGGTGTAATATGTACTTCTTTTCAAAAGCTGTGAGTTTTATTAAGCCCTACGTATCTTTAAAAGTACTGGACATGTGTGATTGATTTTCAGTCTGTGAACTAACTGGATCAGAAGTATAGACTATTTCAGAATGAAAGATTCTTACGTAGCAGTAATATAACATTTTGAAAATATAGTATAAGTGTTTAAAGTAGTTTTAATAAGTCTGTTTCAAAGTATCTGTCAAACAGTATTAAAAGCTCCTTCTGTGGTAAACCAACTTCTGATGACTAATACCTGAACAGTTGATTCTTTTGGTACTGTAATTTTTACCAAACTAAGAGATTTGTTGAGGCAACAGAGGTGTTGGGTACTAGGCAAAAATTACACTTCTGGAGATAGTAACGTACTATGGTTTGACAGCTTCTGTTTGCCTTATAGACCAAAATAGCTTGATATTACCACCTCTAGAAATTATGCATCTTGACAAAACAAATAAAACATTTTCTAGCTTGTTGCCAAAACAATATAAAAACTCAGCATCTTTTCCTAGTTTTCCAGTTGCTGCTTTATATGGCAGCACTATATTTGGTATATGGTAGCATATGGATTGGAGATATAGGATATTCTAACTCCTTTCACATTCCTTAAAATTCATGGAAATTTA